CCCCAGGATGAGGCAGGAACCCAGGTGTCCAGGCTATGGAAGCCCCACCCGCTCCCAGGCTCTGCCCCCAGGCCAGCAGTGTGCCCCCCACTCCACCAAATCCCAATACAAGCCTCACCCTCAGGTTTCACCCCCTGCCAGAAGCTCCTCCCCTGTCTAGAAGCTCCGCCCCGCCCAGGCTGTCCCCCACTGCCCCAGGCCCCAAAGGTCCTATGTTTCCATACTGGGAGCCCGCCCCCCACCCTCCCGGGACCCAAAAAACAGGCTCCACTCCCATGCTGGAAGCCCCACCCCACCCAGGCTCCACCCCAACCTGTAGCGGGGGGGGGGGCGCCGTCGACTGTCCTCAAGGATGCGCTCAGCACTGATCCGCAGTGTCTTGGCCGTCACGGCCGCTATGTCACCCGGACCCAGCTGCTGCACCACGTGTCCCGCCCGGCCTGAGGGGGTGAGGCGGCGGGTAGGGTGGTCAGCCTATGGCTCTAGGACCCAGGCTCCAACTCTGCCATCCTCTCATTCACCAGCCCCTACTCCCTGCCCAGAGAACCCAGGTGTCCAGACTTCTGCCCCCATCCCTACTCTTGCCCTTCAACTTGCTTCACAGAGAACCCAGGTTTCCATGACCCCTGCTCTGACCCACCCCACACTGCCCTTCCATAACTGGGATACAACCCAGCATACAGGCAGCCCGCCTCCCCTGCTCCCAGCCCCCACCCCCACTGAATACATGCATCTGGGCTCCTAGTCATGTCCTGTCTCCCCCCACACCGAGAACCTAGGCATCCAGGCAGACCTCACCTTCTGGGAGAAAGAGCTTGGTGAGTAGCAGATCCTCAGGCAGGGGGGCTTCGGCCTCAGCCACAGGGCTGCGGGGGTTGGTGCCCTCCGCTGGGGCCCCATCCTCAGGGGGCACGTCACACAGCACCAGAGCGGTGAAGCTGCGGGCGCCTGCATCTGTCGAGACCTGACGGGGTGGGAGTGGGAAGTGTGATGTGGCTGGCTCTGGGGGGGAGTGGGGCCCCCACCAGCCACACATAACAGACCCAGGGAGCTCCAACAGGTCTTGACAGCTTGAGAAGTGGGATGTGGAAGATTATTTGGCGGGAGTGGGGGGGCCGTGCAGGACTATGGAAATGGGTCTTGGAGTTGTCCAGAGAGTACTGGTGGATTGCTGGAAGGTCTTCCAGGGTAGGGGAATGATATGCCCCTTACTGTGCCTACCTGCAGGACCAGGCCCAGGGCATTGCGGTGCACACCGTTACAGACGACAACCACGCGCCCAGGGCTCAGCGCTTTCAGCCCGGCTGCCGACGGGCCGTGCAGGACTATGGAAATGGGTCTTGGAGTTGTCCAGAGAGTACTGGTGGATTGCTGGAAGGTCTTCCAGGGTAGGGGAATGATATGCCCCTTACTGTGCCTACCTGCAGGACCAGGCCCAGGGCATTGCGGTGCACACCGTTACAGACGACAACCACGCGCCCAGGGCTCAGCGCTTTCAGCCCGGCTGCCGACTCCAGCACCTTCCTCTGCGGGGGTGGGGTAGGCCTGCTCTGATCTCCTAAAAACTCCTGAAGCCTCTAAAGCTTCCCCAAGGGCTTCTCTCTTCCCCCTTGGAGCCCCCTCAAGGGGCCTGTCCCTGCCCTCCCAGAGCCCCCCAAGCACCCCAGACCTGTCCCTGGCCCCCAAACTCTCAGATCTGCTTCTGCCCCCTGCCCCCTCCAAGCCCCACCCC